GTCCCTGCAAAACAACGCCTCTTTCAGGCGCCTTGAATTTGGGGTAAGGAAAAAGACGTTTTTTGGCCTAGGTCACATGGGGCTACCCCCCGAAAGGGTATAAAAGCAAGGCCCCATTTTTTTGTAAGTGCAACAAGGCCTTCTTGGCACTTTCCTGTTTTTCATGTCCCAGTGCTGAGGATGCTGGAAATGCAAGGGATGCAACCACACAACTCGCGATCAAGATTCTAAGACTTTCATGACACGCAACATTGACCAAACACAGAAATACCAGAGATGTGGGGAATGCTGGGAATGCAGCCGGCTAGCCACAAAAAAAGCAAACAAACATGGGTTTTAGAGATTTCCCAAAATCAACCATCAAAAACCGATACTGGCAACCCCCCTCAAACACCCTAACAATAGACTTCCAAAAGCACGATAACGCAGGGGATGTTTCGCAGTAACTGCTCCGTACAGGTGGGGAGTTGCCAAAAAATCGCGCATTTTTGTAAATTTCAACAGTTCCTCAAACTATCACTGTACTTGGCCCCACCCAAACCCCGAAAGGCCAATTCCAACATGGCTTGAAACAGCAAAACACCACTAATTAGTATCTGCAACAAAAAAGAGACAAATTCATGGCAACAAGGCAATCCTGATGATGCTGGGGATGCAGATCCTGCCCGTCCGGGGGAACCCCCCCCCTAGAGAACTAGGCGAAACGCAGATGTTTAGCACGAAAGGCCCAAAAACACTGGAAAAATACAGGTTTTGGACACCCAGCGCAGCATGTTTTCGAATTGAGCTATGCATCTTAGTAGCTTATACACTTAGCTAGTGTTTGCTGCTTAAGCATGTGCATGAATAGCACCATGCTGGCCAGCCTCTTGTACAATTCATGATGCAGGATTAGACGTGGTCGCTAAAAGCAGTGCTAGCCGCAAGAAGCCTCGCCCTTAATGAACAAACGCTTGTGGCAAGGAGGGGCTTGGTTGCACCTAGAAAAAACATATCTATGCATTTTGCTTGTTGGCCCATGTGCGTGTAGTATTCTCATGGCTTGCCTTGTGCATTACACCCTCCATGGTAAGTCATTCAGGTGGAATAGGATGGAAGATGTTTGTGTACGTGGCTTTGGCATACAGCTAGATTTGCCGTAGGTTAGGCCAATTTGCAGCAGTGTCATCAGGCTGCTAGCTTGCTATTGGTGAACATAGACAGTTTAGCTAGCATCAGAATTCGATACCTCGGTTCAATGAATTCTGTGTTTTTCTGCAAAAGCCAGTGTTTTTCATGTAGTTCGATGCAGCTCAAAACATGTCTGCGTTCCAATTTTCTTGTTTATGTACATAAGTTTTTTGGGTTGACCATAGGAGGCCTACTGATCAGAAGTTGTGTTGATGACCTATGGAAGGTGCAAGTAGAATAAGTTATTCTCTTACCTCCTCCCGTACCATCTGTTGCATGCCACCAGTAAGCATAGGACCTAGAGTGCAGAAGTCAATGTTGCCCGCTTGCAGGTGGTCTGCCTTGACTCAGATTCCCGGATCTACTGGCAATATGAGCAGCGTTCTTTCCTCCAATCAGCATATCAAGGGGGAAGAGCGCCCTCCCTACATGATGTTCCAGCAATCCATGGCCAATGGAAAGGCGCACTTTCCAAGCTCAGGTAGCAGCTTGGTGGCCTATAGTATGTGCCTTTCTTTCACAAGGACGCGGGGACGGAGCCTCATCACCACAACTGGCATGGGCCCACCAACCTCGTGTGAGCTACAAAGTGAATGCAGCGGGGTGGTTGGTCAGATCATTGTTTGCTGGAATCTTGCATTTCCACATGGCACGCATGAAGCTCACAAAAGGTTGGTGGAATGAAGGCCTGTGCACGTTGTGGTGATGAGAGTCCTTGCCCTAGCTGGAAATGAGGGATTCCCTTCACTTACCATTCAGAATCAACTACAGACAGATCACAAGTCACAACGTTGATTTCTGCATCATTAGAGATAGAATCTCTAGCTCCTATGCTTACTGGTGGCACGCAACAGATGGTACGGGAGGAGGTAAGAGAATAACTTATTCGGCTTGCACCTTCCATAGGTCATCAGCACAATATCTGATCAGTCGATTTCTCAGTCAAATCAAAAACAGTTTGTTCATAGAGAAGCAAGAAAACAATGGAACATAGATATGTTTTGCATTAAAAGGGAAACTTTGTTTTTTGAGTTAAAAACTTTCACTGAAAAACGCAGGCTTCCACAGCGTCCCACACTCATATATATATATATATCTATATATATATCTATATCTATATATATATATATATGGTTCCCCCCCCCACAAACCTGCCTTTTTGAAGAGTTCACTGGTACTTGCAGTGTTTTCTACCATTTTGGCTTTGGGGAAAGCAATGGAAAAGACACATGTCCAAGGACATTCCGGAAGCTTCAGGCTCGATTTAAACCGGCTTAAACCGATTAAAGATTCAAGAATCCAGGCCAAACTTTTCCAGGGAATTTTGAACCCAGGCCTCGATTTGAAACGATTAAACCGATTTAAACTTAAATCGGGCCTGGATTCAAGATTCAAGAATCCAGGCCAAACTTTTCCAGGGAATCAATCTTGAATCTTGAGTCGAAGCCCGATTTAATTTTAACTCGGTTTAAATCAATTTAAATCAGGTTTAAATCGCGGGCTGGATTCAAGATTCCCTGAAAAAGTCTGGCCTGGATTCTTGAATCTTGAATCTTGGATCCAGGCCCGATTTAACTTAAATCGGTTTAAATCGGTTTGAATCGATGCCCGAAATGAACATTGCACCTTGCGCGGCCGTGCTTTGGCTGAGCGTTGCGCAAGCATCCAAGTTCTGATCATTCAAAGGCCATGTCGTGCTTCTCAGTGAAGGGCTCCGTCCTCTTCAAGGATGGCTCCGCGTACCTCAAGATCTCCCCGACTACCCAAGCCCCTGCCGAGGCCAATGCGTTCGAGGGATGCTCAACCAATGCCCAGGACGTATCTCCTTCGACTGTTACCAATACCCCCTGGCCTGCCTCAGCAACCAGGTCAGACCAGGAAATCCTGAAGTGCATCAATAATGGTGCTGCCAAAGCACATCCGTCTCGCCTTCCCATGACGCCAGATGTTCTACGGCTGATGCTCAACAACATCCAAGGTCAGTTCAACTTACAAGTTGGGATGGCTGGGGCCTGGAACTCCCTCGCTGATGCGCGCCTCTTGGAGTTGCTGGAGAGGCCTAAGAAGAAGAAGAGGGGCGGCAAGGCACTTGCCCTCGAGGACACGGACACGGAGCAGGCACCACAGCTAGCCATGGCAGATGCGCCTTTTGCAATGGATGCCAAGGACACTGCGCCGCAGGAGGAAATAGGAAGCAGAGGTCGAGAGCTCCTACTCATCGTCGAGCAAGTCGTCTACTGCATCGTCACTGACCGAGATCAACCACAAAGCGATCGAGAAGGGGCCGCAACCTTGACTTGGCAGTCGAGCTCCTGGTCCTGGGGCGATGCGCAAGGTGGACTGGAAGCCCATCGTTCTCTAGTGGCTGCAGACGGGTGGTCCTGCATTCCGACTTGGCCCGGTCATACCGCCTCACAAAGTGCCTGGCGTGCTTCACGACGCCGTCGTGCACAAGAAGAGGCGAGTCAAGAAAGCACGCATGTCTGGGTGAAGCCATCCTACGTCAAGATCTCCAAGCACAAACTCCCAGACGGCCGCCTTCTGAAGACTAAGTCCGGTACTCGGATCATAGATCGAGTTTGGCGTTTCATCAAGGAACGTTTGCGTCGCAACCAGTGTGTCGCTGCTTTCTCCAATGCGCTAGTCACGCATTGAGGAGTGCGCAAGTCCCATTCATCCCCTCTCCCGTGTCTGAAGTCATGTGCTGGAGAGACCAAAAAGGTAGGTCCGGGGGAGGGGGGGGTAGCATATATATATATATATATTTATTTATACACATACGCACCAAACTTTAAGGTTCAACAGCCAAAGGGACTGCCGCCATTTTGGGTGTTAAAGTGGATGGGTGTCCTATTTGGGATGGTTGTTTTCTCTTGTCAGGGGATCCCTGTAGTTAACCACGAGATTGATTAATCTGTGATCGACGTTCGGGGATGCCATGGTCCTGCTCCATAAGGGAAACCCCCGAAACAGCTGGGTTCCCGGTGGTGTCCTGAGCGCAAAAACCAAAAAGTACCTGGGAATGTTGTGTTTGTGAAGCATTAGAATTCGCTGAGATTCTTTAAGTGAAAAATTAAACAGTTCATGTGTTATTGGGCTGGATGTCAATGCAGTTCACGGTTTGTGCAAATATACCGAAGGCTTTGTGGATACCCCGTGAGGGTTAAACGGGTTGAAGTCCTTCAGGGGTTTGGGGGGCTTCTCCTCTGAGTAATTAATCAGGAGTCCTTGAGTGTTCAGGAGGGCAATCATTCGCTCGGGGTGCCATTGCAGTGTGTGAGTTCCTGACCGGAGCTCCTTGGAATCAGGAGACCCCCAGTGCCACAGCGTCTGCAGCGACATCGGCAGCGGCAAAACGTGCAATTCGCTGCTACCTTGGTCCCGGAACAGAGTTGGGAGTATATCCGCTTTTGTAATGTGTTTCATGATGGTTTCCCAACCACGAACAAGTAAGCACAACATATACGGTCGATGGGTATGTTAAGTAAACCGCGTGTTTTGACCAGGGTCGGGAATGTTTCTTAAATGTTTGATGTGGGATACCTACTGAATATGTTGCTCGGCGATGCACATGGGGTAAAAGGCTCACCCATCATAAAGGACCCTTTCTCAGGGGGCTCCATGGTTCTGGTTTGTGAATAATGGCGATTTGCCCAGACCTTTCTCTTCAATAGTCCTTCTCTTCACACAGCGACAATGTTAGAAAATGTTTCGTCACGCCAAAGACCAGGCTTTCTCGCCGAATTCACCTGAATGGGTGGTTTCTCAAGAGAACGAGGTTTGAACCCCATGTTCCACTCCATCGGTCCATCGGCTTGATCGCGAGCTTCGGCTCAAAATGCGTTTTTCAGCGCGGAGTGCAGCCGACAGCTTGTTGCCCGCTCAGAACGAATTGAGATCGGGGAGTGTAGACACCTTGCACCACTGGAGAAAAAGTCACGTCGACAAAAGCCACCCCCAAAGCGATCCAAAGACCCAAGGAACCAAAGACCCGCCAGGCCTTCGGCCTTGGTTAGCATTCTTTCAGATTGCACTGGTCGATGATTGGAGGGGTGTGCCATTTAAACTCACTCCCTGAGTTCCTGGACGCATACTTTTGGGAAGACCATTTTAGGGAGATTTGTTCAAGTTCAATTCAGGCTTGTTTGGTGAATCCACTCAAGAAGTGAGTAAAACATAAGTAAAGTGCATCTCCTTCGCCCCCCCCAAAAGTGACAGCCATTGGGTCTTATGCCAGCCCGGGTTTGGGGTGGCTTTCCAAGGAGGTTACGGCCAAGGGCTGCTGGGGATATCCTATTGTAACGCACGGTAGCTAGTGAAAGGTCGCTTCCCCTTTTCAGGTCTCTTCAACAGCACTTTGATTCTTTTTTGAAATCCAGCCCAGGCATTTTGGTATGAGTTGCCTTCAACCTGCCACTGACCTTTCATATACAGATACAGATCAGACATGAACAGAAAGATACCCACCCCATTTGCGAGATGTTAATTCGGTTCTCACCAGTTGCTGATTACCCTGGCGAGGCTATGCGGCTTTTGCAAGGGGGTTTTCAGTTTGGGGAGGGGGGTATTGTCCCAATTGCAACCAAAGATGCCCAACCAAAGTACCCTCAAGACAAGACCATCCCTACTAACTTGAATGCTAAATCTGCAAAAAGTCAAACTTTTGGGCAGGGGGGAATAGCCGCAATAACAATCAAGTGTCCGAGTACTCTACCATACCGTCAAAAAGGTACGACTGGCTTTCGATTGAAACTGAAAGTTAATAGCATGTGGAAATTCAAGATTGTTGTTCAAGCCCCCCAAAGGTCACCAACTCCAGCAAAAAGCCCACACAGTCTGGATGGTGACTCTCTGAGACCGCTTTTTGCTCAAACGGCACAGCAGTAGAATGACAGTTCTTTCGATTGCTCACAGGGCCAGAGGGCCCGGAAACAGGTGATCACCCGCTCAGGCAATTTTCAGAACGGCCTACGCTCCAAAAACAAAGCCTGAAAGGAACTGCCTTCTGGGACATGGACCCTTTTTGGGTTTCTTTCCGTTAGTTTTGCAGGGGATTGCGGTGAGGGCCAAAACTGGCGACTCTCCAACACTAGCTTATTTTTTCGGCTCGACTAGATGAGAGAATTAATCCGAACAAGCTTTTGTGGGCCAAGATAACCCTGACCACTTTCTGGGTCTCAACTGGGAATGAGCTGAACCAGTAAGACAAAAACTGTCAGTCCGGGTTTCGGGCGAGGCCACGGAAGCGATGGCCGAAGATGCCAAGGTGTGGGCCAATGGGTGGTCTGGGTTTGTGTTTCAAGTTGGTAGGTCCTTAGGTTTTGGGTCGTTCGTGTAAATTGTGCTGAGGGACTACTGATGATCTTAGGTCTTGTTGCTTGGGTTTTGGTGTTTCTGGTGTCTTGTTTCATTTTGAGGGTTGGGTTGGCTTACTGGGAGCTAAACAACCCATATGTTTGAATCTCCCAAAAAGGAAGACAAAAGGCGCACCAGTTTGTTTCACACTGGTGTAGCATCATCAAGGGACTTTGTTCTAAGTGATAGAGATATATATAGAGATAGATGGGCACTGCACAACTCATGATTCACCTTTGATCTCTTTCTGTGACTAGCCGAGAGTAGTCCAAACAAAGTTTGAGAGTAAGGCCATAGAGATGGAAAACCAAATGCTATCACAGGAAGCCATGTTCAACCGCTGGCTTTGGACTCTACCCCCAAATGAGAAAGAAGTCGGGAAAAGGCGGTTCGGTCAGGTTCGGAGTGCTTGCCCCAATAAATACTCCTAGAACGCCGTAGAGTGGCCTGAACAAAGGTAGTGCGCTGTGACAAGTTTGGTTACAGCTACAACAATTCCTCGTTTTGGAAGCCTAGCTTGAAACGAGCTGGAGCTCGCTTTTGTAATGAGCCTTACTTACTTATGGTTTGCCTAAGTGAAATCAGGTTAACTTCAGGCTCATCAACATGACGACTCCCAAATAGGAGCAATTGCAACCACTAAAGAATCTAGGCAGCTATTTGGTTGGATCTCCAAGTTTTCAGTTTTTGGAGAAGAAAACTTCCCACGAACCTGCAACAGATCAAGTTTCGGCTTCAGCCTTCCAGCAGCGATGTGGTGGGATGCAGTCCGCTGGTGGCGCATGGCAGCTTCCCTTGGACGCGCTAGCCATTGCCGGCCAATCACACCCGGGAAGCCAAAAGTTGAACTCTTGGGGGGCAGGGGGCGATAGCCACATAGGGACGAACCGCCACTCCTCGTTGGACGTGGGACTTTTTGCAGATCCGGGCCAGCAAGGATGTGTCCCAGTTCCCGGCCTCTGATCCTAAAAATGTGTTTCGCTTTGGTTTCTCTTGAAGACCATCCCAAAAAACACCTTTTCCACAGGGCGAGGAATCCCACGCACCTTCATCACCAGACGCCAGAGGTTGGGGATGGTCATCTACCCCCGAAGTACTCCAAATACCCACCTTCCAGTGGACACTCACCCATGTTAAGTTAATACGGGGGTTACTTGTTGCCTTACTTGCAATATTTATGGCTTCCACCGTAATTGTCTGCAGGATACCTGGTAGCATATCGTATTTTCCAGTCGGATGGTTCCCCAAATTCAAGTTGCGAGGCCCTCACGCGGAAGCTCAAGGCTGCGGAGCCCGTGCGGGTGGTGGAGGTGCTTCTAGCCCGCGGGCAGTTCAGTGGCAAACGATTTCACCGATTCTAGCATAAAACGAGCTCGCCATGCACCTGTGGTCTCAGAAAATATGTTGCAGTTTGAGTTTGATGAAGTATGACATAGGATCCACACACGACAGTTTTTTCTGTAACCGAAGATGAAGTCCTGCTTGGGGATACCTTACCTCAGGTTTTGGAATTACAGCGAAATGCGCAAACAAATTCTCTGAATCCCCTTGCAAGACGAGGTACCCCCGGTGGTTCCAATTACACATTACTCATGCTGCCTACAACCTATTGCTCGGTGGCACCAATTCTCGAAATGGTGGGTTCGGGAGACACTAAAAATTGGAGCCCGTGCAAAGGGCTCCAATTCTACTGACCTTTCCGGTCCGATTTCAACTGACGTTTCGAATGTGTTGTAGGGCAAGGTCCCTCAAATATCGGCGCGTTCCAGCCCTGCAAAGTCCGGCTGCAGGGGTCTTTGTTCAGGGGTCCCTATGCTACCAATTAAGCCGGTTCACTTTTGAGCAAGTTTTAAGATGGTGGGGGGATTTCGAACAGAGAAATATGTGGAACCCTGTCCGCAGACAGCTCATTTTCCTGCTCAAATCGCTGCTTCCCGGTTCGGCCCTGTTTTAGTGGTTTGTTATGTGCCCGGGATGCTTTCGTCCCTTCCTTGCGTAAGCTTTTGCTTGACAGGGCCCCAAGGTCTGGATGTAGAAGGCCCAGCATGTGGCTTTGCTTCCTTGATTGAAAGCAGCCCTCAGTTCGCAAGAGCAAGTTGGGCGTCCATTTGCGGTTTAATGATGTGGTGTGTGTGTGTGTGTTTGTTTTTGTGTGTGGGTGTTAAACAGACACACCGTTGTTCCCAACCGCACACTAATGACCAAACCGCCGGCAACCTGACAGGTGCTGCAGAAGGCCCAGCAGCAGAACTTGCGCCTGAACTTGATCCACCTGAATACTGCCCTGGCCGTCTTGGCCGATCAGCGCGAACCGCCAACGGACACCGCCAGGCGCGCAAAGCCGCGAAGATTTTGTCTCCTGCGATGTTGAGGTTGGCTAAAGACGAAACAGAAGCAGACCACGTATTGTCTGCTGTACCCTAGGGTTGGGCCAAGGTTGGATTCGAGGTTGGTGGAAGGGCTCCATCTAGGCTTGGTCAAGATATCCTGATTTGTCTATGGTTCCTTCACCGGCGAACTTGCTTGCATACACATGCAGTTTGTGGCAGCCTTTGGCTGTGGCTCATCATATGCGTGTTCCTTAAATGGGAGAGCCACGCCAAAGCGGCTTGTTGGGTGATGTCCCTCTTGGTGGTTGCTGATGTTTACGGAGAGACAACATTTGGGTTTGTCTCTTTTGAGAGTACCCCTTCAGGGACTGGCACGAGGAATGACCGATTTTGGGCCTTCCTCCCATTTGAAGACAACCCGTGGTGAGGTTGACGCTTGTCTGGCCAGTAACAGCCACTGCAGTCGTATCTTGTTGTGACCCCGAAGGTTCCCGAGATCACCGACTCGTTCGGCGATTTGTTTACTTAGGGCATAGGTGGACAGAACCTCCCATCTGATTTCCACTAATGTAACATGGGGGCTCCCACCACCTCCAAATGACTACTAGATGAAAACGAATTCTTTCATACATAAACAAAAAGACATGTTGTGGCTATAGGGACAAAATCCCATTGAACCCCTTGGGAATAGTGGTTTGGGGTAGTGAAAGCCACCTTAGAACCAGGGTCCTCACTGAAGAAACAGACACTTGGCCAAACATCTGACACCGGAGAATTGCCTTGAGTCTCCTTGCGAGAGAGATGCCTGAAACACCAAGGAGCCGCTGGGCTTGACTCCCAGATGTGTTTCTTGTTTGGTTTCTGTTGGACCTGTGCCCCTTCACTTTTTTGCCGACATGGTTGCTTCAATGCCAAGCAGACCCTGTTTTAGGTGTGGGATGTGAATGGTTTGCACTTACCAAATTGATATGAATTGCTCATGTACCTTGAGAGACTCTCTCAGGGACCCAGCTGCAGGCGTCTCCCTCCAGTGGAGTTGAGAGCAGCCACTCTTTCAGGCATGGACCCCAAACGCCCAAAGCCGAAAGGGTTTTTGGCTTCAAGTTGACAGAAGGCTTTTAAACAACCTCCTTTTGGTCCAGAAGGAAGTGTCCCTCACCCTGATGTGTTTCGGTCGAACTATGTAGTTCTCTGTGGCCAGTTCGAGGGCCGGGACATAGTGCACTCCCCAAATTTCAGTCACAAAGACTGGAGGAAGTCAGCAATACTAAATGTTTTCCTCTTGGATGGTTCAAGACGTGCGAAGAGCATGGCCGGACCGGACATGAGCCAAAGATAGTAATTTTGTGCTTGTTCTCTCCAGAAACCCTTGGAAGGAGAAGCCCTTGTTGGGGGAACTACATATGTTGAACCGTCCGGTCTCATCAGGTGGCAAGACGCCTGCCAGCTTGCTGAGAGGCACGGACTCAACCGTTGTTTGTTCTTCGGTCGATGGATGCGCCGGAAAAAGAGGCTTGAGCAAAGAAACATGGTCAGGGTTTCAGAAACACAACTCGGTGGGATGTCAGCTTATCGCCGTTTTAAGCCTTTTCCCTTCATTGTCACGCCTGATGGACCCTCTCAGCCAAACTTGGTGCTGGACAACCCATTCCGGTGATTATTCCCGCAGGAAAACGCAATCGGTTGCGGGCAACAGCATGGAAAATATGCACAGCCTGTACAACAAGCTCTTGCAGGGACAAAACAAGCTCACACAAGACGATAACCCTTACTGGGGGATTCCTTTTGTCCGTTTTGTAAATTGAAATGTAGCAGTTTGACCACGCCCTACAGACGCCCGTGTGTATTTGTTTGGTTGTGTAACTTAGAGTTCATTTTTTGTGCGTTCTCTGTGCAGCACACACGCACTGCAGATGTTTAGCACACACGCTACCTGTTTTCGCCCTGTTTACTGAAGGCAACAGCAGCTGGGTGTCGTTGGCGAAGAAGAAGGGCATCAAAACCAAAGCAGCGACGCACTCGCTCAAATAGTTCGTCAACGCTGCATCCGACGGAAAGCGCGTTGGAGTGTCGCAAGTGATGCTGCCTGCAAAACAACCTGGATTCCTGGATAGGTGTCCCGGAGGGTTCTCCGTCAACTGGAAATCATTGAGCCTCAGCCTAGTTGACCCAACGTGCATTCCTGTGTGTTTAACCTCGTTTCTGGAGGAAACCAAGCTTTCAAGTGCATACTTGCTCCTGTGAAATGTTGGGGAAACCATGCCATCCATCGACCCTGCTAGAATTGACAGCTCAGTCACCTCCGCTGCCGAACAAATTCCTGAACTCCCACTGGATATTCAGTCACGCACATTGTTGCTGAGCACGAAAACTGAGCAAAGCACCACGGCCATCAACGGCGCGTGGAGCTGGCAGTTTGCCCAGATAGAATGTGTAGATTGATGTATTACCAATTACCAACGTAATTTTCCAATCCCCAAATCCCCAAACAATCTATAGGGAGGAGGCAGCTTGATACAAGTCAACGGGGTGGCGGTCAGTGGGGGGTCGCTTATGCATTGAGCCTTTGGGTTGGCAGATGATCTGCTGTATCAAGTCTTTGTGTCTATGAAACATTCTAAAATCAGCAATTCCATGAACCCATGAAGCCAAAGCCATTTGGGGGTGCCAAGGTAGCGAATTTCCTCCGAAGGCACACCTTGTGGCATAACTTGTTCCAGGAGCTACCAGGGCTCATCTACGCAGGTCAATGCATTCAGGCTTGGAAGTGTTAAAGACCGGGGTGACACAAGGACACAAGCAAATGCATTTGCAGTTGTAGTCGCAGTAGGCAGGTTCTTGAGTCAACACAACTCAACCCCCGGGTTCAATGTGCCCACCCATGACGGTCACTCGAGGATGCTTGATTCTAGGCTGGTGAATTGAGCTTAACTTGTCATTTCATCTAAGGAGTCCTTCCTTCTAAGCTTACTCCATTACCCTACGTTTGCACATTGTCAGGGAGCCGCTCAACAGATTGCCCGCCCTCAATCAAATCGGCTTCAGTCCAAAGGTTCCCTGCGAGCCTTGAACTTTTGTTTATTCAACATGTCCTGTTCTGTCAACAGGCCTGAGTTTGTGGGCAAGTTTGTGGTTCTGGACGAGAAGGGGCACGCGACACTACATCTCCCACAAAAGCCAGAAAAACGGCTTCTATTTTGTTATACAATTTCCCATGGTCCATTTGACCACAGCTCGCGTTTGGGAATTATGCTCGGGGTTCGGCTTTTCCCACCCTTTAACAAAACACAAAAAGGGACCCCCTGAACTAAACGCACAAACCACCGTTGTTCCCACTTGTGGGAAGCCTGTTGTTTGTGCATTGCATACGCCATATGTGTTCCCCACAAGTTCTCCACAAGAGGTGGATAAACAAATATTATATTATATGTCCAGATATGATATTACAGATACACATATTAGCTCGAAACCATTGACATGTGGATTGGTGGCCAAAAAGCCAATGCTTGTCAGTATTTGGCCTTCATGCTGCCACTTTCTGTGATTAACCTCCGGGACCCCGGGTAAAAATGACAGCAGAATCCCACAACTCAGTATCACAGAAAGGGGCCAGCCAATGTTCCACCATCTCCCCTGGGCCAACGCTTGGTGACGCCGTTGACTAACATCATCCAGGCATTTCCAGACTGAACTCGCCCCTTGTCAGTTTCCTTCATTTGCCGTCTCAACCAGGAAAAACCACTTTCTTGCAGGGGGTCAAAATCTGAGTCTGGCCAAGCAAGAAAAGGCTTATATAAATCCTAGGGTTTGTTGAACATTGACCAAGTCACGGGTGTACGGACAGAGATGCTGCCAGGATACCCCAGATGTTCGTGGAAACGGATGTTGTGAGCTGCTTGACCGCAAAATGGGTTGACCCCACCCGCAAAATGGTCACAGGCAAGATTGCTCCAAGACCAAACCTTGGTGGACATGGTGCAACAGTTTTCTTCGTGTTGCTTTTGAGTCTTCAAAGAATGACTGAAAGGCTTCGAGGCACAAGGTTGCACAAGAGTCTTCTTTGGGTTCCTTCTTCAGAAGCCATTTGTCAACGCAATTTGTGCCCGCCCCAGTTTTGTGGCCATGTGCTTTCGCAGAAGATCTATTCAACACCCTCCAGGAAAGATCAACCAACACATATGATCGCGTATGCGATGGGAGCGAAGCTGACCCGCAGTTTCATTTTGGATCGGGACCATTTGACCAAAAAACCCTAGAGGACTTTGAATGAACCTGGTGCCTTGGTCCTAGCAACCTTTGACTTATGGTCGTAGACCCATGAGTGGGATAAGGCAAGCTCGAGGATCTTGATTTGAGATAGAGTATGGCCCAAGTGCAGAGTTTATGGCACGCTGGGTTAACCGTTGGTGACAGCATCGTTACCCCTGACTATACAAAATAATGAGCAGATAGCATGTTTTATTTGAACGGTGACCAAGCATGGATCACCTGGGCATCATAAACAAGATAGAACGGTCATAAATGTCCCTGATGCGTCGGGTGGGGAGGCAGGGGGGCACGAGGGTTGAAACGGCGAGCGCCACTGAGACACTTCAGTTGTGTCTTTTTACCGAAGGGGGAATGATTGGAGCCCCTTCTCCAGGGGTTCCCAGTAGCTTCTCCACATCCAACCTCGTACGTTTGGAGTTTGATCGCGTGCGCTTGGGTGTGACCGCAATAAACTCTGAACCTCCAATTCACTCACCAGCAACAAGTCTTTGCTTTTCCACGTGAATTTCCCCCAGCCAGATGTCTTTCCCAGCTAGCTGTGTTTTTCTCGGCCATGTTTCGTTCAGGTGGTTAGTTGGACCAACACAGTGAGCCGGTCATCCAGGGGTCCTCGTCTCGGATTGAGGCTCCAACATTCTTCTGCGCTCGCCGGGCTGGCAACAAGCGCAGCTGGATCTGAGGAGAGGAACCTGGAGGTCTGTTAAACCTCTCCTAGAATCCACCTCCTATTGGTCCCAGACTTCCAGTAATACCTGTTTGCCGCTTTCTTTTTGAGAGTTTTGAGAGTGAGAGTTTCCCGTTCGCAACTACAAAATATGGGGTGTGTTTTCCCTCGCATGGCCACTAGAGGTTTGGGTGCCCTTTACTGCAGTACAGCAGATGATGGTGAATGTTGATCGGCGATCTTGGAATTTCATGGAAGAAAACAGACCACAATGAGATGGTAGTCCAGTTTCGGCCGTGGCCCCTTTAAACCTTCACGTATAAGGCAGGATCCGGCAGACCTCATGGGATTGTGGGATGCAGGGGTTGGAAAGATTTGTCTTTTGCTTACTTTCCCCAATGGGTTATTTTCCCTGGTTTGTTTTTGGAGCGACTTTGCCGTGACTTGTGAGTATTTGCCCCAAACTGTACAGTTTTGGGGTTGTTAGATTTTCAGGGACATCCGCCCTTTACCTTCCCTTTGCCAAGAAGACAGCAAGGGGTCGACAGGCAAACACTTTGGCTGCACCATGGGCGGCCTAAAAAAGGAATCCTTTCAGAGGGGTCCTCTTGAATTGTGTTTGCCTGTTTCATGGCAAGCCCAGCCACGGGTTAAGTGAGCTCATGATATTGGACCCAGGCTGATCCCCAATTTCCTTTCACCCATTGTTTGGGGTTTCATGTGGTTAGCCTAGTATAGTTGCAACCGGAAGCACTGGGATACAGTAGAGTTTGCAAATTGGTTTGGTTGGGGGGCATGGTTGGGGGGCTGGTTGGGCTGGGTTTTGGGGGTTCCTGTTACGTGTTTTTGTGTGTTTCTCAGCCAGGACCTTTACGGAAGTCACCTATGTGGCGCTGGGCGGAAAGCTTGATTGGCCCCAGGCGGGAGTGGATTTGCGACGGAAAGGGAGCTTGCCACTTCCATATTTTGTTTTGAGGGCACCCCGTTTTTAGGTTGTTTTGAAGGGACACCAAAAGGAACATCATAATTTTGGAGGTCCTCATAGTTTGACAATGCCCATTTGCTCAAGATGTGGTGATGCAAACCCAGGATAAATACAGACTAAATGGACATGATGCTCGCTGGTAAGAATACCTTATGCAATTGGACGGCCCTTCTTATGCACGGATCCTCTCTGATGCGGGTTTTCGTTATGTGTCGCCTCAGCTGGAAGGAAATCGACTTATCGACTATGTATATGTTGTGGGGTCATGGAGACTTGCAGAATTGACAACCCATTTTATATGATAATATAGTGTATGGCCCATGTCTGGGACTCGAGGGATTGCCCAAATGTCCAAAGCAGAGAGACTCACTAGTTGGCCTCCGCTGGTTGTGGGAACTGCCATATTTTGGACATTATGGTGGCTCATGTGAAAAAGATGGATCTTTTTTTTGTTTGTTTCCCCGTGCGGGAATCATTCATATATGTTTTAGTGTATCTTTTTGATTTAGATACAAGATAATTGACTGCTTTGGGACATTTTTTTTTTGGGGGGGGGAGTGTACTTTTTGGTCTTGGATTACAAGGGAACTGAAAGAACATCACCCACGGGGGACTGCCCCATTTTCAGCGAGTCCCCTACAGGGCACGAACACTTATGAACGGCATTTCCCAAGTAAGAACAACATTTCACAGACGCCGAAAAGACGCGACATTTTGCTACACTAGTCATGGTTATTGAACGGACCGCAGACTTCAATTCTGATTTGTTTTGGCCCTATGCGGTTTGCTCTCATTTGCTTGTTCCATGGCTCAACCTAGCGATTTCTTGATGGGTGGTTGTTTACAATGTGAAGGATGCTCTCTAAAGGGGCGCGGCCCTACTCATCAAACGCAGGGCTTGATGAATCCTGGGCTCCCATCGTTTGAAGACTCTCATATCAATGTGTTCACTGCTCTGATTCATTTGTACATTATAAGTGTCTTTTAAGGTGTCAGGGAGACTCCCGGCCCAGCAAACCATTTTTTTTGCGCGCCGGCGCCGTTTCGCTCGCGTCGGCTTCCAGGTGCTGCGACTGCTCTGGGCGATGCGGCAAAGTCGCGGCGTGGGGCTGGCGGCGTACAATGCGGCTGAGACCTCAGCTCAATGCCGAAGCCTGGGTTGGGGGGGAGGGGCATGTGGCGCTAGATGACTGTTCTTTCATGAAGTCATATTTAACAGGATGACTATATGATGATAAAATGGTTCTCAAAGAAGCATAGCCACTGTTCGCCCAACAGTGGAGTTCCAAGGGTAACAGGCGCAGTGTCAGCTCCCATGTCGATTATTCTGATATTGAGCGCACCAGGCTCGAAAGGATCTGTGCGAGCAATCATGGAAATAGGTCAACGTTTGCCTCGTCGTTGACTTCCAGGGATGGAACGCCCACCAATGTCCTGTTCACTTCGCGAATTGTCACAGTTCAGGGTGTTCTTCTGACGGTTGCCCAACTAGTTACCTGCCAAAGGTTCACTGAACACATGCCAAACAAAATGTAGACTGAAACTGTAGTGGTTGCTGTTCAGCCTGAAACACACCCAAGCCAAACTGACAACAGTTAGCCAGCTAACTCATATATGGCACCTAAAGACATGCTGTTGGTTGCTCAAGTTCAAGAGAACACCCAATTAATTAACACATGGACACAAACTCATACTCCCATTTGCTTGAGGCGTCACTCAAACATATCATAACATATCATGCTGCCCGGTCGCAACAATGTCCCTGAACAACCTAGACAGAAAACATCCGAAAGAAGGACACCACTGTTGGGTCAAATTGGGGACCACCAAAAGGTGTTGCACTGCAAACATCGTCCAAAAGGGGGTCACCTCAATTTTGGAAACATCCAATTGGAAGCGCGCATTTGAAAAACTGAACCACGACTGGAGTTGCCCGCAGCACTTCTAACCTGGATCACGACACTTTGATGGGCCCGCTCAGCCAATTGTGTATGAAGGGAGCCAGAAGGTGGTATGTTAAACCATGAACAGGGATGAATATGATATGCTTACAAATGTATATATAGAGAGAGAGAGAGAAAAAAAGAAAGAAAGAGAGAAATGCCTGCGACATGACGCGCCACTTGTTGGGGAGTGTGGGTCTGTTTTAATCTTGGGAACCTTCTTTGAACATATTTAAAGGGTGACAAGCCAAACAAAACCTTGATGAATCCATTGCTCATATAACTGCTCCAAATCCCCCCAGGCCTGTTGCTTTTTCACTGAGGCCTTGGTAAAGCTACTCTGGCCTCAGAGTATGGAGTTGCTGCGATGGATGCCGAGGACTGCATGTTTCCAGAACAGTTGCACGGGGCACATGCTCGTTCTGTTTTGTGCTAGTTTGCTGGTTGGCTTGCTTTCTTGTTTCTTGCCTGCTTGTTTGTCTATATTGTGTATGTGTGCTTGCTTGCTTGCTTGCTTGCTTGCGGGCTGGCTTGGCTTGGCTTGGCTTGGCTTGGCTTGGCTTGGCTTGGCTTGGCTTGGCTTGGCTTGGCTTGGCTTGGCTTGGCTTGGCTTGGCTTGGCTTGCTTGGCTTGCTGGCTTGCTGCCTTGTACTGGCTGGCTGGCTTACTGGCTTGCTGGCTTGCTGGCCTCCCGGCTTGCTGGCCTCCTGGCTTGCTGGCTTGCCGGCTTGTCGGCTTTCTGCCTTGCTGCCTTGCTGGCTTGGTTGTGGCCTTGCTTGCTGCCTTGCTTTGCTTGCTTGCGTGCGTGCTTGCGTGCTTGCTTGCTTGCTTGCTTGCTTGCTTGCTGGCTCGCTCGCTCGCTTGCTTGCTTGCTTGCTTGTTCATGGTATTTTGCTGATCTTCGTTGTTTGTTTCTTGTTTGGGTGTGAAATAGCACGGACCCTTTTGTGGAGAAGCCCACAACACCGCAAAGGATCACCATAAATTTCACCATCCAGTGTGCTGCTCGTGCCGGCAATGATTCATTGCTTCGTCAGTAGATGGCGAGAAGGCTCCGAGGAATGCCCAGACTGCTTCATGAAACAAATTAACCAGTGAAGAGGCTGAGACAGGAAGCGTGTCATTCCTTATGTACAATGACTTAGTTGGCGTGTTTGTTTGTGAGCTTGCGGTGTGTTTGTATTCTTTATTGGAATGTTTTTTCAGGGCCCCATTTTGTTGTTGTTTTTCTGGCTGAGGGAGGGTCGCTTAGTTTTGACACTCGCACCAAAACCGCGGCTGCAAGTAAGCATGCGGCAAGCAGTTTAAACAGTCGCTTCGCCCGGGCCCTCTGCTTATGTGCTTCATTTGGGAAACTTGCGTCCCCAATGACCCTGGTGAGAAACCCTCGCCGCCCATGTTTAGTGGTATTTTGGTGAGTGTGCCTCATGCCAGATGTTTGCAGTTACGCAAATATGTTTATCTGCTTGTGTCAGCGCAGTTTCGTGCACCGGTTCCCTTACCCACGTGACGCAAGCCAGGAGCCGACTTCGGCCGGATGTGCTGAGCTACACGACGGTGGCCTCGCAGGATCGTCATAACGAGTCGGCAAGTTGAACGTGAATCCCTCCATCTGTGGGTTTGGGAGGCGGGTGCTCAGGATAATGTCCTGTTTCTTTTGTTGTTTGGTTTCTTTTGCATTGGGGTCGCACAGCGTGCGCTATTTGAATTTGCCACTCGATGCCACTTCACGCCACTTGAAGTGGCATGGAGTGGCATGGAGTGGCATGGAGTGGCATGGCGTGGAGTGGCGTGGAGTGGCGTGAAGTTGCGTGGAGTTGCGTGGAGTTGCGTGGAGGTGTTAACTTCTTTTTTAAGTTGAAGTGGCATGAAGTGGCATGGAGTGGCATGGAGTGGCATGGAGTGGCATGGCGTGGAGTGGCGTGGAGTGGCGTGCAGTGGTGTGGAGTGGCATGGAGTGGCGTGGAGTTGCGTGGAGTTGCGTGGAGTTGCGTGCAGTGGTGTGGAGTGGCAAGGCTTGTTCAAGCGCAAGAAAAGTGACCAGGATGCCCTGACGAAGGGAGAACCACTTCCCTGAGCAAAGCATATAGGCCCAAACAATGCCATTTTTTGAGAGGCTATTTTTCATGCGAAAATGAGCCCCTCAAAAAAAACAACCTGATCTGACGAGGAGAGGTTTGTTGGGGGTATGGAGGGGAATGGACGGTACCTTCTTCAAGTTGTGAATCCCTGACAGCAGTGAGATAACACCAACCCCCGATCTTTAATCGCATGAAAACGTGACCTTGAACATGCCCAGGTATGAGTCCGAAACGAGGAAACTAGAACTGAACATCGCCATCGGCATGTTGTGACAGCGGAACTGTTCGTTGCCCGCAGTCGTGCAAGTCGCAAGGCTTGATGTAGCATAGATTCTGTGCTTCCCATTCTCCCTTCACCATACTGTTGCGATGGTCGACAACGGGAGAATATTGGCTCCAACCAGATAGCCGCAAAATTGACAACACACTCTGTGTTGCCCCCAAGGCCTTTTACAACATAAATGCTGGATGACAAGGTACGGTTGTCCCCTCCCCTTCTTCTACCTGGTGGGGGGAGGGAGCGCAAATTCTTGCCTACGTTGATCGCCGCTGCGATCCAAACTGCACCACGCAACGGGGCAAGTACCTCACTCGCGAAAAGGATCGAAAAGATCATTGAAGCCCATGGCTCCACACAGCTCCGAGTCGTGGAGCACTCTGGCCAGGAGCATGCATGTCGCCAGCTTGCTCTGCACCTCCGCATCTCGCTCCGCAATGCTGGCAAGGCCTCCAGCACTGAAGTGCTGATAGTTATGCTTGCAGAGGCTCAACTGCGCCAACATTTCCCACCAGGCACTGGACATGCGCGTCACGTGCCGTGGCAGGTATCCTAGAACGAGGGCCCAATATCTTTCGCAGCATACCGTTCCAGTATGCACTGGGCATCCAGCCTCCAAGGTGATCAATGCCATACTGCGCCAATTGAAGAAAGACTCTATCCGCAACGGTTTGCGAAGCCGTCGGAAGTGGGCGCGGATCTTTTTGGTAAGCACCGCTCCGCGCCTCTTGGTCTCGCGCCTCTGGCCTTCGCGAAGGACCTGCCGTCGGCGAAGATGAGTCAGCCTCTTTTGCTTGCGATGCCAGCGCGTGATCCTACGCGCCTCTCGCTTGAACTCTTTCTCACTGCGGAAACTGTGCTTGCCCTCGGTCTCGTGCGCGTTCGTGCGAAAGCGTCTGCATAGCCGGGCCAGCGTCTGCCGAGGGGGGTAACCGCCGAAGATGTCGACCCAGCTTTGAGCATGAGAAGCATGGGCCTGCGATAGGAACGCTTGCGCAAGGGCCTTGTGCGAGTTCTGCGCTCCTGAAGTATCGAGGTCAAAGTGGCGCAGGCGCACGGCCTCGCGCAGCAGTGGCCAGGCGTCCTGCGTGACTCTGCCCAGACAGGCACAGTGGAGTCTGCACACCAAACAGGGACGAGCCTCCTAAAAATCAGACACGGAGGCGGCTGAGACGTTTTTGTGGGCTAAATAAACACAAAGAAAAAGGACGCACAGCGTATTTGTTGGCCTCTGGTCCTTATCCAGCTCCACGAACTCGTGATCATCTGGGCACACGCCATGGGGTGAGCAAGCCAGGGACAGACGCTCCATCATGTCACGATGATCTGACAGGAAAGCAGCCCCGTCGCTACACTGAGGCGACACCAGCCTGCGCAAAGCATAGATGTCGTGCTGCGGATCTCCAGTAATCCTGAAGGGGAAATCTGAGGTCGTGCATTCGCACAACCATTAGCTTAGACAGAAAGCTGCTAATGACGGCCAAGACGCGTAGTGGGGCTGCGGATCTCCTGTAATCCTGAAGGGGAAATCTGAGGTCGTCCATTCGTATAACCATTAGCTTAGACAGAAAGCTGCTAATGACGGCCAAGACGGGCTACGAATGGCTGCTAATGACGGGCTACGAATGGACGACCTCAGATTTCCCCTTCAGGATTACTGGAGATCCGCAGCACGACATCTATGCTTTGCGCAGGCTGGTGTCGCCTCAGTGTAGCGACGGGGTTACTTTCCTGTCAGATCATCGTGACATGATGGAGTGTCTGTCCCTGGCTTGCTCACCCCATGGCGTGTGCCCAGATGAGCAGCGTTTTTTTCTCAGATGATGGATTTTAGCTTCGTGGGGAACTCCCAAAAGCTCCGCGAAGGCACTTGCGCGATACATTGTGTACCGCGAAGCCCCGCGAAGCCACTTCGCGTAGCCCGGTAACATTGACACAGGCGAAGCCACTTCGTGGTTTGAGTGTATTGCGTGCTTTCATGGCAAGTGTGTTGTGCGCCTTCATGGCAGTAGTATTCCAAAGGTTGATGTTTAGAGTCAGCAGGCTACGACAAGATTACAGGAAGATTACGGGAAGACGACCGGAAGAGCACTGTGCGTTTCAGGCCCGGTTTTGCTAGAAACGATGGAACGTTTTCGCGAAGCCTCTGCGAAGCCCCCGCGAAGCCCCCGCGAAGCCTCCGCGAAGCCACCGCGAAGCCACCGCGGTCCAACTTCCATGCTCCGCCCCTTTGAGGCCCAGCCATGTCCCCTAGTCCTGAAGCTGAATGCCTCTCTTGCCGACTCAACTTGATTCAACAACACGGGGGCGCAAACGTCAGAGATGTTTGTGAACAAACATCCGCGAAGCCCGGCGAAGCCACTCCGCGAAGCCACAGTCTTGCCGCGAAGCCTCGCGAAGCCAACCCTTCCACAAATTCTGGCCCCGCGAAGCCCCCCGCGTAGCCTCCCCAGCAGTGTATAAGCCCTGAACCTCTAAAAAAAACAATGCTCAGATGATCACGAGTTCGTGGAGCTGGATAAGGACCAGAGGCCAACAAATACGCTGTGCGTCCTTTTTCTTTGTGTTTAGCCCACAAAAACGTCTCAGCCTCCTCCGTGTCTGATTTTTAGGAGGCTCGTCCCTGTTTGGTGTGCAGATTCCACTGTGCCTGTCTGGGCAGAGTCACGCAGGACGCCTGGCCACTGCTGCGCGAGGCCGTGCGCCTGCGCCACTTTGACCTCGATACTTCAGGAGCGGAGAACTCGCACAAGGCCCTTGTGCAAGCGTTCCTATCGCAGGCCCATGCTTCTCATGCTCAAAGCTGGGTCGACTACCCCCCTCGGCAGACGCTGGCCCGGCTATGCAGACGCTTTCGCACGAACGCGCACGAGACCGAGGGCAAGCACAGTTTCCGCAGTGAGAAAGAGTTCAAGCGAGAGGCACGTAGGATCACGCGCTGGCATCGCAAGCAAAAGAGGCTGACTCATCTTCGCCGACGGCAGGTCCTTCGCGAAGGCCAGAGGCGCGAGACCAAGAGGCGCGGAGCGGTGCTTACCAAAAAGATCCGCGCCCACTTCCAACGCCTTCGCAAACCGTTGCGGATAGAGTCTTTCTTCAATTGGCGCAGTATGGCATTGATCACCTTGGAGGCTGGATGCCCAGTGCATACTGGAACGGTATGCTACGAAAGATATTGGGCGCGCGTTCTAGGATACCTGCCACGGCACGTGACGCGCATGTCCAGTGCCTGGTGGGAAATGTTGGCGCAGTTGAGCCTCTGCAAGCATAACTATCAGCACTTCAGTGCTGGAGGCCTTGCCAGCATTGCGGAGCGAGATGCGGAGGTGCAGAGCAAGCTGGCGACATGCATGCTCCTGGCCAGAGTGCTCCACGACTCGGAGCTGTGTGGAGCCATGGGCTTCAATGATCTTTTCGATCCTTTTCGCGAGTGAGGTACTTGCCCCGTTGCGTGGTGCAGTTTGGATCGCAGCGGCGATCAACGTAGGCAAGAATTTGCGCTCCCTCCCCCCACCAGGTAGAAGAAGGGGAGGGGACAACCGTACCTTGTCATCCAGCATTTATGTTGTAAAAGGCCTTGGGGGCAACACAGAGTGTGTTGTCAATTTTGCGGCTATCTGGTTGGAGCCAATATTCTCCCGTTGTCGACCATCGCAACAGTATGGTGAAGGGAGAATGGGAAGCACAGAATCTATGCTACATCAAGCCTTGCGACTTGCACGACTGCGGGCAACGAACAGTTCCGCTGTCACAACATGCCGATGGCGATGTTCAGTTCTAGTTTCCTCGTTCGGACTCATGCCTGGGCATGTTCAAGGTCACGTTTTCATGCGATTAAAGATCGGGGGTTGGTGTTATCTCACTGCGGTCAGGGATTCACAACTTGAAGAAGGTACCGTCCATTCCCCTCCATACCCCCAACAAACCTCTCCTCGTCAGATCAGGTTGCTTTTTTTGAGGGGCTCATTTTCGCATAAAAAATAGCCTCTCAAAAAATGGCATTTTTTGGGCCTATATACCTGGAAGGGCCGAAACGCCGTTAACATTGCGAGTGCCAGAGGTGGAGGGGGGTGGCCGTAACTTGTCATCCAGCAGTTATGTAGTATAATTTCCAGTTGTCGACCATGACAACAGTGTGGTGAAGGGAGAATGGCTACGACACTATCGGGAAACATGCGCTGCCCGGAATCTATGCTGAATCAAGGCATGCGACATGTGCGAGTGCTGGCAGCGAACGCTTCTGCTGTCACAACATGCCCGGCTCAGAAGGTAACGTTCTGCGCGAGGGTGATGCGATAAAGATTGGGGGTGGATGGTTTATCTCACTGATGTCAGGGATCCATTCCCCCTCGTTTCAATATCTTCTTTCGAGGTGCCAGAGGCAAAGAGGCAGGGCAGTGTTTTCATACCCCTTGTTAGGGTGCGAAATGTGACGTGGCAAAATCAGAAAGTTTGCCAAAACTAAGTGAGCCCTGAAGAAAGGAGTCCAAACAAGAGTGATGTTGACATGCCCCCCACTTGGAGAAGGGGAGGGGAGCACTGTCTTCCAGTATCCCTGCGTCGAGCTAGTGACTTGGAATGGTCGATTCCGGAGTCTGACGTCGGCCATCTCGGAACACGATTGTAGCGTCATGCTATGCCATTCCATGCCACTCCATGCCACTCGACGCCGCTCGACGCCACTCGACGCCAGTCACCACTGCATGCCATTCCACGCCACTCCGCGCCACTCAATGCCACTTTAACTGGCATGGAGAGGCATGGAGTGGCACTCGTGGCCAAGTGGCATGGAGTGGCATGGAGTGGCATATTCAGAATGATCCCGGATTGCACGTCCCCTGTTCTTTTGGTGGTCTTGTTTTGTTGTTTGGTTTCCTTTCATCTGTCGTCGTGCTGCTTGTCAAGTTGTTTGTTTTGTTTGCTTGGCGAGATATGGCACGGCTTTGGTTTGGAAAGCGGGAAACCCTTTGTTTGGGCTTCTTTTCTAATCCCCTTTTGCAAGTTGTTTTCCTTTGGGAGGGTTTTGTGTGTTTGGGGGGAAACACCTACTTATTTATACGCCAGGTTGCAAGTGGATGACACTCCTCCCTCTATGTCCACAAGCAAAAGGGGGGATAAACACCTTGCGCTACTTTTTACCGAACTGCACCCATTGTTTTGCGTTTTGCGAGGATGTCTGTTTGTGTTGAGTTGGGAGGGTCCATTGTTTGGAAGGAGTCCAACTGGCTAACCTTGATTTTTTATTCCGCTGAATGCTCCTTGTTGGCGGGTTCCCTTGTATGTGTTTTTGGCGGGAGGATTTGGGCTATTTTTGCTTGGGGTTTCCAGTAATCAATCTCAGCCAGCATCACTGGCGCCGTGCCTTTCTATTAAGCCATAGAGTAGGGAGAGATGTGTGGCTTCCCTCCATGTCTTGGGTGATGTGCGTTCTTAATTGTATAATTGTGTTGTCGAGACAGCGATATCTAGAGCGTGGTTGGCCTTTTGCGAGGCCAAGAGCCTTTTCATGGTTGTTCGACCTTTTTCTTTGCGGGGCTGAAATGCGCCTTGCCGGGGTGCACAGAGGGGCGAAAACGATGTTTTGGATGAAGCACGCCTAACTGTCAGAAACAAGTTCGTCCAAACTGGGCGAGAGATAGAGAGAGGAAACACACTGAATGAGGATTGGGCAATCTTGACGACCGCATGAGGGAGGGCTTTCTTGAACTGTGGTCAATTGTCGGGACTGGGCCGGGGGGGACTCTGTATGTCATTAATTTCAACAATCAAAGGGGCTTTTGGATTTTTCCATGGCCACTAAGGAAACCACTGCTTTCATTATGACCCTTTGTGGTTAGAAGACTTGAACAAGCGAGTTGTTGGACCCGCACCCCCCTCTCCCCGCAAAGATTGGGAGATGTCAGTATGACAATCACTGAGAGCCTTGAGGCGAAAGGCACCGGAAACGAACATCGGGCTTCCGCACAGGTCGCCCTGCGCAAATGGGGTGGGCTTTGTTTGAGGGTACTTTTTTGGGGACAACCGCCCCCAATGTTGACGCAAACCCAAGCGCTGATGTGTTGGGGCTGATGTAAGGACCAGAACCTCTTTGCGGAATGTCTGAACAATCCTTTGGAAGGGGCAATAGCCAGTTCAGACGCGCGGCAGGACAGTTGGCTGGGGGCCGTCAATACGCTGTGTGACCTGTGCTTGGCAAGGTGCGGAGCTCAATGGGTCCGTTCCAGTTTCATTTTCAATTTTACCTTCTTAATGCTTGTTAAAGGAGAATCCACCTCCAACAAAAGTGTGACTCCTCAAGTGTTCACTTGAAGGGACCCAGTATGATGATTGACTGGTTAATGCAAATTGAACAATCCAGCTGGTGTTTTTTCAGGAGGATCCCCTACCAAGCCATTTCCAAAACCAGAGTGATTCTCGAGAACCAGCAAGTGTTGGGAGGGGCAGCCAATGGCAGCCACTCGTGAGTCTTCAAGCACCCCAAGGTGGCAGCTTGACGTCGTGTGCTGCAGCACCGTCCTCACGAGCTGCGTTGAGGCGCCACCCGCAGCTTCTTGAAAGTTTGTAGCCAGAGCAGGAGCAGGAGCAGGAGCAGGAGCAGGAGCAGTAGCAGTAGCAGTAGCAGTAGCAGTAGCAGTAGCAGTAGCAGTAGCAGTAGCAGTAGCAGTTGTCGTAGTAGTAGTAGTAGTAGTAGTAGTAGTAGTAGTAGTAGTAGTAGTAGTAGAAGCAGGAGTAGTAGTAGGTAGTAAGTAGTAAGTAGTAAGTAGTAAGTAGTAAGTAGCAAGTAGCAAGTAGCAAGTAGCAAGTAGTAAGTAGCAAGTAGTAAGTATTAAGTAGTAAGTAGTACGTAGTAAGTAGTAAGTAGTAAGTAGTAAGTAGTAGTAGTGCCATTATGGTGTCGTTGTTGTTGTTGTTGTTGTTGTTGTTGTTGTTGTTGTTGTTGTTGTTGTTGTTGTTGTTGTTGTTGTTGTTGTTGTTGTTGTTGTTGTTGTTGTTGTTGTTGTTGTTGTTGTTGTTGTTGTTGTTGTTGTTGTGTTGTTGTTGTTGTTGTTGTTGTTGTTGTTGTTGTTGTTGTTGTTGTTGTTGTTGTTGTTGTTGTTGTTGTTGTTCCCTCAGACCGGCCGTTGAGCCGCGCTTGACCCGTTCCCAATTCACTGTAAATACCATGCAAACTTGCTTTTCTGCTTAAAAAACACTGCAAAACGCGACAGATCGAGGCAGTGCCGCGCACAGACCGGAAACGCCCACAATTCACCGTAAATACCATGCAAAATTGGTTCCCCGCTCAAAAAGCGCTGCAAAACGCGACAGATCGAGGCAGTACTGTATCCATGCCAGGCACATGGTAAGAACACCCGTTCAAGTGCACCCGCTCAGCACTGTATCCATGCCTGCCAAATGGTAAGAACCCACGCTCAAGTGCACCCGCTCAGCACTGCATCCATGCCTGCCAAATGGTAAGAACACCCGTTCAAGTGCACCCGCTTAGCACTGTATCCATGCCACGCACATGATAAGAACACCCGTTCAAGTGCACCCGCTCAGCACTGTATCCATGCCAGGCACATGGTAAGAACACCCGTTCAAGTGCACCCGCTCAGCACTGTATCCATGCCAGGCACATGGAAAGAACACCCGTTCGAGTGCAAGCTCTGTATCCATGCCAGGCACTTGGTAAGAACACCTGTTCAAGTCCACCCGCTTAGCGCTGTATCCATGCCAGGCACATGGTAAGAACACCCGTTCAAGTGCACCCGCTCAGCACTGTATCCATGCGAGGAACATGGTAAGAACACCCGTTCATGTGCACCCGCTCAGCACTGTATCCATGCCAGGCACATGGTAAGAACACCCGTTCAGGTGCACCCGCTCAGCACTGTATCCATGCCAGGCACATGGTAAGAACACCCGTTCAAGTGCACCCGCTCAGCACTGTATCCATGCCAGGCACATGGTAAGAACACCCGTTCAAGTGCACCCGCTCAGCACTGTATCCATGCCAGGCACATGGTAAGAACACCCGTTGAAGTGCACCCGCTCAGCACTGTATCCATGCCAGGCACATGGTAAGAACACCCGTTCAAGTGCACCCGCTCAGCACTGTATCCATGCCAGGCACATGGTAAGAACACCCGTTCAAGTGCACCCGCTTAGCACTGTATCCATGCCAGGCACATGGTAAGAACACCCGTTCAAGTGCACCCGCTCAGCACTGTATCCATGCCAGGCACATGGTAAGAACACCCGTTCAAGTGCACCCGCTCAGCACTGTATCCATGCCAGGCACATGGTAAGAACACCCGTTGAAGTGCACCCGCTCAGCACTGTATCCATGCCAGGCACATGGTAAGAACACCCGTTCAGTGCACCCGCTCAGCTCTGTATCCATGCCCAAATGGTAAGAACACCCGTTCAAGTGCACCCGCTCAGCACTGTATCCATGCCAGGAACATGGTAAGAACACCCGTTCAAGTGCACCCGCTCAGCACTGTATCCATGCCAGGCACATGGTAAGAACACCCGTTCAAGTGCACCCGCTCAGCACTGTATCCATGCCAGGCACATGGTAAGAACACTCGTTCAAGTGCACCCGCTTAGCGCTGTATCCATGCCAGGCACATGGTAAGAACACCCGTTCAAGTGCACCCGCTTAGCACTGCAAACGTTCAAGCGCACCCGCTCACCACTGTATCCATGCCAGGCACTATAGACCATTTGGATTTTATATGGCTTTATATATATATATATATGTTGTTGGTAAAGTTTTGGGATATATATATAAAATAAAGGCTATTTGGTTTTTAGATGACTTTATTTATAGAGAGTTGCTAAAGTTTGAGGGTATATATTTGTGTATGGACTATTTGGATTTTATATGACATTATGTATATTGAGTTGCTAAAGTTTGAGGGTATATATATGCCATGTTTAGAGCTTGGCAGGCATTGGGTGAACATGTATCATCAATTGTTATGGGTCTGCCATTTTGGCTCAAGACTGAGCCAAATTGGCAGACACCTTTTTGGTTTTCGGTCATATTGTTGTCTGGAGTGGGACTCCAGCATGTCTGGCGCCGATGCAGGCCTTTTGGTGGCCCATTGTCAGGAGCGGATGTTGCACCCGGCGGCCCTCATGGACTTCGAATCCTACGTGCAAGGACTGCTGGCCCGTGGGGAACGGGACCAGGCCGTTCGGCTGTGGCGGGCTGTTGTGGTGGTGGTGCACCTCCCCCCAACCGAGACCTCTGAATTTCGCATTCATTCCCTGGGGTCGTTGCGGGAGGTTCCCTGCATGGTGGAAGGGTGTGCTAGGTGCACAGAGATGCGTGGGGGGTTCCAGTTCCCGTGGCTCGGGACATGGACCAAACGCGCAGTCCTGGTTCAAGCGGAGGTTGGCCCAGAGGCAGCTTGGGACCTTTACTATGCGGGCCGGGACTACTTGGATGAGGATCAGCTTCGGGCCGTTGACTCGGGCATGCGAGTGCAGCAGCTGGTCCCCGAGCACGTGGCGCGGTTCGTTGGCTACGTGGAGTTGGCCGGCCTCGAGGAGTGTGGCCTCGATCGGGAGGCCGTCTTCTGGGCGTGGAGGAGGTGGCAGGCAGGCCGGGTCTCTTGGCGACAGCCGGCGTATGAGCCGATCCCCTCCAGCGACTGGGAGAGTCGCGATGGGGCCACTGCTTGGGCCGGGAAGGCTCTGGGGCAGTGGCTGGCTGGTTTTGCAGCAGGAGAGCGTGTTTTTCCCCCCCCTTGCATGCGGTGTGGTGCCCTCACAAGGAACGTCATCCGGGACAGGCCGATCTGCGAGGAATGCCTCAGCCATTTGGTCTCTCTGGGGGATCCTTAGCGCCATGGCAGCTGTGCCGACCGGGATCTACGCTCGCCTGGCGGGGGAGGGCAGTGGGACCCGGAGTCGGCTTTGGGCGCGGTGGGCGCCCAGCACACCGCCAGGTGGAGGCGCGAGTACGGGCTGCAGAATGATGCGGACTTTGCGTTCGCCTTCCGCTCGTTTGAGGAGGCGCTGACTACTGGCGGCAGGGACCTGGCCAACTCGTGGGTGCGGGTGCGTAGCGCCCAGGAGTCCGAGCTGCTGCCGGCTGCGGCTGATGTGGTGGAGGGTGAGAGCCGGGGGACGGCTGTTCACCTTCCTTTTCGGCCTCTGGCCCCTCGGCCTTCGAGGGCTCCGGCGGTACGCCTTCGTGCAGTTCAAGACGAACCGGAGGCGATCACGACGCAGGTCCAGCGGCTCGGCGAGGCACTGCAGGACATGGGGGCGATGAAGCCGACAGGAGTCCTGACGGAGCAGCTGCGGCGCGAGTGGAAAGGATCATGTACTCGTTTGGCGCAGCGGTTGGTGACGGAGGCGGAAAGGGCCACGGTGTTGAATGCCTTGCGCACATGGGGTGAGGTGATCACCTTCATGCAGGCGCGTTCTCGCCCGCTGCCGCCGGAGGTGGTCGACCTTGATGTTTTCCTCCACGAAGGAACAGCTGCCCCGGCCCGTGCTACCCAATCACTGCGCTGGCTCACCAAGCAGGCGAGGGTGGATCTGGGTTTGAGCATGCTCACGCCGCCTGCGGGACAGGCGCGCCGGGCAGGGCCCAGGGGACAGGCAGCCGTGGTGGAACCGGTGATGCTGCTGAAGATGGAGCAGCGGATGGAGGAGCTCTACACGCAGGGCGATGATCGCTGGCAAGCGTTGCTGGCGGCATGGATGCTCTATGGAGGAGTTCTACGCCACAAGCACCTCACTCGGGCGGAGGTGCGGAAGGTGACCATGTCGACGGTCCATGCGCACTGCATCAAAGGGAAGCAGCGGCGCCTTCGCAAGGGCTTCGACTTCTGCGTACCCGGACAGCTGTCAACCGGGTGGGACTGGTCGGCGGCCTGGCTCCATGACTTCGCCCTGGTGCCGGAGAAGCAGAAGGCAGACTGCGGGTGGCGTTCCGTCGGGAGGGGATCCCGTGGTCGCTATCCGATGTTTACCGGATGGTCCGGCATGAGTTTGCGGACTTGGTGGAGAACCCGGCGATGGTGTCATCGTACTCGTTCAGGCGGGTTGGTACCACGGTGGGCCAACTGGTGGGGTTCAGCGCCCTCGACATGGCGGCACTGGGCGACTGGCAGACCAAAGGCGACGTCCCGGAGGATGCTCGCATGCCATTGCACTACAGCGGGGCCAAGTACGCGGCGTCCTTGTTGGCCAAGCACAGGATGGTGGGAGCGGTTGCGGCTCTGACCCACCACGAGTCCTGGGAGTTGGTTCCGCCGGCGGAGGTCCAGGAGGCGGCCCAGGCTGGCCAGGCGGCGTCAGCCCAAGCCAAGGCGCGGGACGCCCAGGTGGTGTGGGCGGCCCCCCCACGCCCCAAGGAGCTTCAGAAGCGCTTCGCCCTGACGCAGAAGCTCAAGCGGATCGCCAAAGCCAAGGCAGAGGCGGCTAAGCCAGCTACCACGATGCCGGCCTCGCTCAACGGCCGGCGCCTGACCGCAGTGATGCGTGATGGCAAGAGGCTATGCCCGGCGTTCCAATCGGGGCAATGC